CATCCAGCTGCCAAGCCTGGACCTTTTGTTTCTGTGCTTTATGGCAGATTTTGGCTTTGCAGGTTTTTACATTGCTGCCAAGTTAATTTTAGAACTTTAGTTGCCATGACTACTGCTAAGTATTTCTTAAGTTCTCTACTTATTTGCTCAGTTTGCTGCTTTCCTTTTCTTTGTGTGTGTGTGTGAAGTGCATGGACTAATTATCCTACCCTGCAGAAGATGAAAAAGGATGGCATGTGAGAGGTGAGGCTCTTGATCTTCAGGCTGACTCAGCTGCTCTTTCAGAGCAGCTGCAAAGACTTGAAAGCGCAGCTCTTGTGGCGCATGGTCAGGATGAGGGGTTTAAGTGTGGGGAGGAAGGCACGGGTAATGCACTCATTCTGATGCACTGAATGAAACATGCTAGCACTGCTTCTAATTCTGCTGACTAATACTGTCCTGAGTTTTATCTTGCTGGCTGCTTGCATAGACTTATAACTATATATAGTTCCAAGTCTTAGCTTAGCTTTGCATTCCTGGGAACAATGGCCATCATCTTGCTCAGAGCCTCTGAAGTGCATTATACAGAGAAATCCTGTTTCATTGCTTAGGGCTCAAGTTGTTACACTAATACCAATTGCGATTTTTAAAAAAATTGTATACATGTATGGGTAACAAGTTCTCCATATCAAGATGTCCTACTCTGTTTATGTAGGCAAGGTCATGACTATATTTTCAGTCATTTGACAGAATAGGCCAAGACAGAGCACCCATTGGTGTATAAACTTCTCATTATGATTTGAAACACTTAGAATTCTGAGGAAAATGTAGTTCTTGTCAGTACAGTAGAGCTTGGGAGTCCAGGAACATCACTGTCTAGTCTTCAGGTGGAAATAGCAGGGCAAAGAGCCAGGCAGATGTGGAGAAAATGACCTGAGGGGCGACTTCAAGAACTGGGAATAGATCCGCACTTTGCTTCGACTTCTTGGATCGAGGACTGTTCTGATTGCTGTGGTTCTGGTCTGTGGGTATTAGGAGCACTCGTGATTAACAGAGTTAAACACGGGATTTCAGGACAGGACGTCTGTGCAGATACAGGTTGTCTAAGTGTGAAGCCAGTGCCATTAGAGACGTACTTGGAAAGAGCTTCATCCTGCTGCTTTCCCAGAAGTTTCATCCATTTACCAAGTACCTGGTAAACAAAATTCATATTGTATTCCTTTGGTCAGTTCCCACAGATAAGGTCTCTTCAGGATGTGTAACACTTCTATTAGTGAATCTCTTTTCCATGCATGAAACAGAGAAAGCCAAAGCAGAGCAAAAACACACTGGGAATGCAGGTGAAAACAAATCCTTGTCTCTGGTGTCTAAGGGAACCGAGAAGCTTCGTCAGGAGGGGAACAGTGGTAACCTAGCATGAAAGTTCATGAACTCAAGGTGCTGTGTTGTCTGAGAGAGATCTTGTTTGTAACATTGAGAAGGGCAACAGGGAAAAAACATAACTAGGGGTAGACAGGACATCACTGGAATAAGGAGCATTCTGAGAGTTCAGTGCACAAAATCTGTGTAATCTATGTTTTAGTGGGACATAAAATCATCAATATGAGAAATTTAAGAGTTTTGGGAGACCTAGGATGCCCTAGGAGCTCCAAGCACAAAAAGTAAATAATGTGCAGAGGCTCTGCCTGTCTGTATTTGATTTTTGTTGTCTTTACCCTTCCAAGCTGCAGCTCTGCACTTTAACCAGTTGGAATTTAAATGTGTTGTTACAGTAGCATCTTTGTTGGAGATGGACCGTGACTCGTGCTCATTAAGGCTACAGATGTCTGCTCAGATTATGTATTTCAAAAGCTTTTTCTCCAATGAACTGTGAAAAGCCAGGCTTGAGCAGAGGATTGTGAAAGATAAAATAATAGCTTCTCATCCCTGTGTCTGGCAGACTTAATGCAGTTACTCTCAGGTTTTTTTTTTAAACTTCGAGACAGCAGATTTGTTCACAGTCAATAAAATAGCCCTGTGAGCACAACCCGTTACATTTCCTTTATCAGTCTTTTCTTAAATTATTCACTAAGCTTTTTACACTCTAAAAATCTCTAATCTGTGAATTCAGCATTTCCTGGATACTAGGATTTAATAGGCATAAGTGGCATTGATAAACTGTTTATATGTGGCACAATTAGAAAACAGATCTTCTTAAGGGGAGGGCGGGAGGGGGGAGCACAAAAGAATAAATACTCCTAAAATTTAAATTTGCTTGCCCACTCACCTTTTTTGTTAATTTGCACTTAGTAGCAGAGCAGATGGAATTTTTTAAACCTGCCTGGATAGTACCTGCTTCTCCTGGGAGAGGATAACTGAATTATCTAGAAATTCAGTTCAGTGACTTCTGTCATGTGTAAACATTTGCTTAAAGTTATTAGAGCAGAGCTAAAGAGTCATGGCTTTTGTTTCCTTTAGTCAAACATGTCCAGCTGAGAGTTTTCAGGTGTTTTCTGTACCTCACTTTCTCCCTACTACAGTGTGCACAGAATGGATGAAGGTTCCTCAGGCAGTCTCAGCTCAATACCCCTCATGCCCTTTCACACCTCTGTATATTTACTAGCCACGATAATCCCAGTCTCCAAAACAGAATGTTAACTGCAAATTTACTCCAGATCTCTGCACAATATGTGTGCGGTTGTCTGAAAAGGGTTGTAAAACCAGATAAAAGAGATGTTTTGTTTCACACTGTCCTAAAGCTGGTCATCAGATCCCATCTGACTTTTGACAAAGTACTTCTTCTTCAGCAGTCTGGTTAATCTGTTCGGATTTATGGAATTGTTTTTCATGTAGGACCTAGGAGATGTTGTCCTAAACAGGTGAATAACCTTAAAAGTTTAGAAAAGAAGTTTACATACTTCTCCCATTTTTCTTCCCTTTTAGTAAGATGGAGATTATAAAGAGAAGGGACTGTGCTGCACGATGATCCCATGGTAACTAATTAAATCTCATCAGGTCTGCAAAGGCCGTGCTGGTTTTAATCTTACGCCAGTGCACTGTAACCAGTGAGCCAAGGTGAATGAAAGTCTTGTGTTTTACTGGGATGTCATAATATATATATACACCTTCCTTGCACTGAAGGCGACAGGTAGTGGTATTCATCCATGGATCAGCCCCTGCAAATAAACTTGTTGATATTTGCATAAAAATCATCTGCTTGTCATTATACTCCCTGTGCTGGCCCTTGTCTGTGATATGTGACCTGAATTCATTTCTCAGCTGCTGAGTTTAAGGAGTGTATTAAAAGAGCCACAGTAATATGTGATGAGCTGTAATTAAAATTACTAATGCATGTCAATTCCCTTCCTCCCTTCTGCTTTGATTTACATTCTTCTTGCAGACTTTGTTCACTTTACTGAGTGAGCCAGTTTACTGATGACTGGTAATAGTGATTTCTGCTTTCTCTCCAGCACAGTTGCATGGGGAAATAAATTTAGTAAGGATCCTCCCTGAGGTGTTACACTAAGTGTCAATCAAAGTCTGTGGCTTGCAGCTGTCCTGCAGAGCTTTGGTCTATGGTTATAGTGGTACTATCAGTAAAACACATCTATTTGAGTGCTAGTTTTCTTAGTTGGTAGCAGGACCAATAATCATAGAATCATAGGATGGTTTGGATTGGAATGGACCTTAAAGATCATCCTGTTCCCACCCTCTGTCATGGGCAGGGATACCTTCCACTAGACTAGGTTGCTCAAAGCCCATCCAGCCTGGCTTTGAACCCTTCCAGGGACAGGGCATCCACAGCTTCTCTGGACAACCTGTCCCAGTGTCTCACCACTCTCAAAGTGAAGAAATCATGTTCTCTTAGTCATGGTACAGCCTTTTATCCCCATCTTATCCTTTCTTACTAAAATGTCTATGCTTTAAACTGGGGATGTTTAAAGGACTTGCCATTTTTATGTTGTATTATCTTATTAACAAATGCAGAAGTTACTTTTAGTGATGCTGGAAATTGTGGTTTGTTTAATCATGAAAGTGAACTACCAAAATCAAGCATTGAGAGAGGTACCTCTGAACAATGGGTGCTTGAGGAAAGCTCTTCTATTATGTTGGACACAGTCAATATTTATTTCATTATTCTCTTGCTAGAGAAATGTATTAGTGACTCTGTTGCAATTCTGAATGACCAAAAAGCAGTTTTGGTTGATAGGGAAAAGAAAGGACAATCAGGATTTACTGTCTCAGCCTTCTGCAGTAGGAAATTAAGAATTTGGATGGATTATGCTCTTATAATTGTGTGGATTTTGGGTTGAGTTTGGTTGGTTTGGTTTTTACTCAGCCTCTTGTTTTTCTTAAGGTAGACGAATGTCAGAATAGCCTGTTTGAGTCCATAAGGAATTATGGCCTGCACAGAAATGGAAATTCTTGCCCAAAAAAAGAAAATCATTTTGAAGGCCACATGACCTTGTGAACATGGGGCTGAAATGGTGTCAGGGGAATGTTAAGTAAAACAAAACAAAACAAACAAAAAAACCACAAACAAAAACAACAAAACCAAAACAAAAACCAAAACAAAAACACAAACAAACAAACAAACAAAACCCCACACCACCCCAAACAGCAACCTATCAGGCCTTTTATGACTCTGATTCTAGTGTGGTTTGTCATGTGCAGCTGAGGTACTGTGCTTATGGCTTGAACTGGGTTTCTCACCTCTGGAAACAAAAGTTATAACTGACAGGTGGGGGTGGGGAGATGCTCCCATGATAGTGCATTCCTGCTATGGTGTGCATTTTCCTCTTTTTCAGTTTGCCTAATAGTTTATGTGCTGGCACTTACTGTGGGTGAGGATGGACTGAGGGACAGCCAGCCAATCTTCCATTTGCATGCAATATGCATTTAATAATCCAATTTTTCACAATTCAGACAAAAAAGAAAAAACTGCTTTTGTTGCACAGCATGTTAGCAGAAAAGACAGCACATGTCAAAAGCAATTTTATGTTGAAACAAATCTGAGGCTTCCTTTTGCTTTTGTCTTGCAGAGGCAGGCAGCGGCCAAGACTACGTGACCTCAGAAAACCAGCTGCTTTACTACCCGAGTATTACCTACGCCATCATTGGGAGCTCTGTCATTTTCGTGCTCGTGGTGGCCTTTCTTGCCTTGGTCCTGCACCACCAGCGCAAGCGCAACAATCTCATGACGCTGCCGGTGCATCGCCTGCAGCACCCTGTGCTGCTGTCCCGGCTGGTGGTGCTGGATCACCCGCACCACTGCAGCGTCACCTACAACGTCAACAACGGGATACAGTACATGTCCAACCAGGCCTACCACAGGCCCGTGGACCTGGACTCCCCTCCATCCTACTCAGAGGCTGTGCTCGACCAAAGGTATGTACAGGAGGTAACTCTTGCTTCACATTAGTGGTTACAGCTCTGTTAAGCTGTGCTGCTGCTCCCCGCTTGTTCTTATCGCTGCTTTTGACAGAATTCTGGTGTTGCACTTCTGTCGCATGCATAGGGTCAGATTTTAGTAAATTTGAGCTCTTCCTGTATCTGAAAAATTCATGGTCCTCAGGTACTTTTACTGTTACTGATATTGAAGGGATTTGAGGCAAACTTAAGTCATATTCTCTTAGCACATGTTGTTAGTAGAGATTTTGAGGATGGTAGGAGAATGCAAAAAAAGGCATCACTTCTTTAGTTTTGATATCCTGTGCTAGTATGGAGTCAAAACATGAAAACTGAATTAGCTGAAAAAACAGCTACGTTATAGGTCATAGCATTAAAAAAAAAAATGTCCTGTTCATATATGGTAAGTATATAAAAGTGAGAGAGTGCTTCAATTCGTCTATAGAGAAATTGTTTCATTCTTCTGCTCTGCGCTACTTTACCAATAGAAGAAAAGAACAGGACTCTGAAATGTAAAGCACTGTTCTTAATTTAAATAGCTGAAAGTGCTTTGAAGTTTGGTGGGTGGATGTGGTTTGGCTTATGATGTTTGTGATGTTTTTGTAGTTATGACACTGGTTTTATGGTACAAACTTTAATGATCCAGATTGTTCACTATCACCCTGTTGGTATTTTTTAGTATAAACTGTGGGATCTAAGAATAATAAATTTACATTCCTGTTCTCTGCTGCCTTTGGCTGCAGATCCCTTGTCTTAATGTTGACTTTCATAATAATGATTTCTTTTCATTAGTAAGGACAACTAAATGAACAGCTGTCCAGCTTGTAATAATTTCTCACCTGAGCTGATACACCATCAGCAATTTCAGAGCTAATTGCTCCCAGGACCTGTTCTCAGTCTGCTCAACCCTTCAGTCCCTTTACTTGTTTGCAATCAGAACCACAGAACAGTTTTCCTGAATGCAGTACTCATCCTGTCTGTGCCTACTTAGCAGTTGCTCTGTATGTGGTCTCATGACACCAAAAGTGATTTGTCAATGTGGAAAATTCAGTTTGTTATTTATTCGTAGACTGTAAGCCATTAATCTCTGTCACTTAATGGAGGTTTCCTGGGAGCTTCAGTCTAGTGTTCACATCATTATCTGTAGGTGTAAATCCACCACTTACGATATTTCTTTCAAAGTGCTTTCTTTGGCATAAATATTATACAGAAAAATTTTTTACCTCTTGCAGCTGTCTTTGAGCCAGCACTCTTCTAATTCAGAGTGTGGATTGTTCAGCAGGATGTAATTAGTTATGTTGCACCTTGACCAGAAACCTGGGTTCCCAGGGGTGGTGTGGATATTTTGAAATTACCTACAGGCAGATCTGAGATCTCTTCATATGTGTCATAATTGAAAAACTAAGAAATACTGTTTGGTTTCTTCATAACTGGAATACTGTGTGCTGTCTTCTGTACCACTGTTTTTTCAGTAACTTCTTACTCTGTTGTGTATCTTACAGCAGACCACCTTGGTTTGACCTTCCTCCACCGCCTTATTGTTCTGAATCTGAACCCTCCAATCAACCCGATCTTCCTCCTTACCGATCTCGGACAGGGAGCTTGGCCAGCACGGACACCCCCATGGCAGAAAGTCCTCTGGGCACATCCGACAGTTGGACAAGAGACATCCATGGCAGCATGGATGGCCACAGAACTCTTCTTGGGAGGACAGTAGATCAGAGCGATTCTCTGGTCAACCACGTTGCTGAAAGAGAAGTGTAACTGCTCCAGTCTTTGGGATGGGCAGGAAGGCTTTTACTGTGTCCGTATGAGTTAGTCTGCAGTGGCTAATGGGTTTCAGGGGGACATGTGCCTGAATGATGACTTGATTTGAATTCATACTAAGTTATTGTTTGAATCCAGCATTTTGGGCTCATCAAGTACAGAGGACTAAACCTGGAGTCACATCAACTCTCCATGACATTTCTGTGAGCAGGTTCTGGTTCAGACAAGTAAGAGGAACATCAGTGCTGTGTCAAAAGAACTGATGTGGTGTATTTATTGGACTGCTTACTGTATATGAATGTATATATGTGTGTGTATAATATATACAGAAGTAAAACACAAGAACTGTGCCAGAAGGACTCTTTTTTTCAGGCTGCCTCCCATCTTGTCAACATGTGAGCTGTTTCTTTTTACTGCCTGGTGCCAGCTGGTGGTCAATGAAGCACGAGAGGCAGTCATTCTGCTTGGAGGTCTGATGCCCAATGCCAGCCCCCTGGCAGTGCTCAAATTGCAAATGATGTCTTACTTGACCCCTCTCTTCATGGCCTGGAACATTCTCACCATGAAGGAGTTTCAAGCTTGTGAGGATACAACAACTCTAACTGAGCAAACAAGGTTTTTTTACAGATGCTAGTATCTAGGCCAGATTTGCATGGGTTGTCTCAGCAACACCACAAAGGTTGGGTTATCTGTCAGACTTCAAGGCTGAGTATAGAGGCACTGAAGCTTCTCAAAAACACAGTTCAAGACTTCTTTTCCTTTGTGGAAAAACAACTTTAGTCCATGTGTTCCCTCTTAAAAAAAAAAAAAAATAACAACAAACACATAACTAAACAACAAAACAAAGAAAACGACCAAATTGTTAAAGCTAAATCTTCAGTGCCAAAACCAGTCTGAGGCAAACACCCAGCCCAGAAAACTTTAAGTTCAATGGCTAGTTTGTTGTATCTGTAAAATACTTGGAAGTAGGTCATGTGGCAAAGGATGTTGGACTTCTTGTCCCTGTCTATAACATGTATGTACATGCATGGAAATACATGTGTAATACTACATGTAGGTATGTGTGTAGTGCAACACACAGGTTTAGTTCTACTGCTCCACAAGAACTCTAAACTGACAAAGTTTCATTTTTGATGATCTTGTTTTTTATGGACTTTTTATGGAGTTTGCATTATTTATGTTCATTTGGTTGAAATTCTAACTTCTGCAGAAAACCGGGATTATTTATGTCTGTTTTGTCCTGGCTCTTGGAATGGTCTTCTATCAAGTGTATTTCAGTGCACCTTATTGAAATCACCCATGTGAAAGCACCTCAGAGGTAAAGGTATTCAGAGTGGCAAGAGGGAAGAAGCCATGAGTTTAAATGCCACTGCAGTGCTGTGCTTGTGCTCCCTATACAGAAAACAGTGCAGTGTCTTCCTCTTGTCCAGGGGGAAATTTGCCTTGAAAAACTATTCATGTTTGTCTATCCCGCATTTCCCACTCCTTTTATGCAAAAGAACTGTGCCATTAAGCAGACTTTGCTGTTTCAGGGAAATGAAGGAAGCAGACTGCCCACACCTCTTGCTTTCTTCCTCCCCATCTTTCTAAGGTAACTTCTTTTGCCCAAAAGTTACATGTTCAGGACCCAGGAATTTTTGAGCTGGAGTGTAGGTAGGGGAACAACTCAAGTTCGGTCTCAGTTCCCACACATACACCTGAATTTTTTGGTGGTTTGTTGGTTTTTTTTTTCATTTCCAGTTCTGAGGTCTACTTCCATGATATGTAAGAGGCAGGGGCCAGATAAATTTACAAGCACAGGTACCAGGACTGAGATGATGTGGGGGGAAATATTGGAGAGTTCTAATGCTGATGGGCTTGGCTGACTTTGGAAGCAGATTAATGGCAGCCTGTTGTGAAGTGTTGTTGAAGTTGTTGCTCCTAGGTCCTTGTAAAGCAATGTACAAGATTGGGTCAGATTTCATCCTTGCTGAGAACTCAAGTATTTAATTATGCTGTTCTTCACCAAGCAGGATTTGGCTTATTAATGACTCCATCCGACACTGTAGGCAGACTGTTGTCATTGTCACAAAGCAGACAGTTACCCTTTATTTTACAGGTACACCAAACTCAGATACATGAATGAGTTAATAGTACAGGCAGGTGCAGGAATGTCTCCTGTGATCACTGGGCCCTGCTGTCCCTCTTGCCTTTCATTAAAGTTCTGTTTGGCCTTTGTAAGAGCTGTATCACAATGCTGTATCAGAATTAACCTTGGATGTTCTGCTATTGCAGTTTTAAAAACTTTATATTGAACTTGAAAACATACCATTGAAGAGTTTTCAGTAGTTTCATTGGAATTAGATACCTTTTTTATTTTAAAATTGCCTAAGGCTGTATCAGTGAAACTATATCGTTGTGTCCAGTATCCCTCAAACAAGCCTTCCATGGGGAATTACATTTCACCATGTGTATTCTAAGACACCAGAGTGTGTTCAAACCAAATATTTTGTGCCTATGGCATCTGAAAAACATTGCCTTGCATTGCTAAGAAGTGGGAAAAGAGTGAATATAGCCTGCTGCTTCTGCCTTCTGTGTCAGTCACTGTTATATATGTACATATATATATATTAAAAATACTCTTTCAGGTTGTATATATTCATGTAACTTTTGCATTAAGATAGTCCATTTGGACTCAACAGAGAAAAAAAAAAAAAAAGAAAAACATTCTAAATGGTGTGACATTTTCCCTTCTAGCTAAGGGAGTATTTATCTTTGTATAGGAATCTTCTAGTTTTTAAGAACACAAGTTATAAAAGGAGATCGTGCCTTGCTGTTTGAATGTTGATTTGGGAGGCTGTTAACTACATTTCTGGGGGTTGTTACATATCATTGTCTAGAGATCCAAAAAGGGCAACAAATCTTGTCTTCCTCTTTGTTATTACTTGTGGGGACCACTGAACTTTGAGGATGACAGAAGTTCAGTATCTTGCTCCAAAAAGACATGCTAAAACTTGGGGTGGATGATCTTACTCCAGTTTTCTGGTTTGCAGAACAGGTTTGCTAGCTGGTTGCTTTGGAAATTGCTGTAGAATTACACACAGAAGTTGTTTATGAAGTGTCACTTTTAGTAGTGTTAATACAGCGTTACGCTGCATTATTCAGTGGAATCTTTGGGAAATGTGCTGTTTAAATTAAATATTTCCTTGACAATCCAGTAGCTTTTCAGCATTTAGGCTGAAGTTAAATGTTCATCCAATACCACGTGGTAGGATTTCTTTTCCGTAGTGGGTAAAATTGGATTGATCATCCTGTTGCTTGCAATTGCTCTTAACCTTTTAGTTTGAGGTTAGTTGTCCAACAGCTTTCTCTTCTACTTAATATTTAAACAAATGGATGTTATTTCGAAGACTCATTCTTACAAAAGTCAAATCAATTAAAGTTTTCTTCCAGAGCCAAATTCTGTTTCCACATCTGTGCTGAATGGTGACCACTGTTGAGTAGTCCTCCTCAGCACAGATATTAAGGTATTTGAACAAAAGAATTTGAAGAAATGACTACTTGAAGTAAAAGAAGAAATGTGGATTAACCTGTTGGAAATAAGGTTATTTAAAACCAAACAAATAAATTTCAGGAGTTTTGAGTGTCTGTAACCTCTGCTGAGATCAGAGTGCTGTGTATTTAAAATTAGACCATTAATGTTTCTGGTTGATAGTAATCTGAAATTCCTTGTAAGGCAAATTACTATTTATCTCTGGTATTGGATAGGGAAAACTGGCAGTAATGGTTTTAAAAGAGAGCCTGTGAATAATTTTCTTGGCCCTTCTCTGCAGTGACATACACAACAACACTGACTGCATTGCAATTTTTAAATAACTCTGCATTGATTCTTTCCTTTTAAGTCAAAGCTGTTTTATTTACACCACTTCACTTTGATACAGTTAATAGGGCCCTTGTGATAGATTTAAAAACTGAGTGGAGGAAAGAGATGACTCTTATTTTAATTAATGCTGCAGCTTGTTAATCTTGTGCTCTTTACTTTTTAGACATCTTAGGAAAGACAAATGGTTTTAGTAGATAAGAAAAACTATTAATGATGAAAAGGACGGAGGGACACTGATTCTGATTTTTAATGAATATTTAAAATTGTATAAATGAAGGAAAAATTTAATGCTGTATTTTTAACGTGGTGATCAGAGGACAAGTATTGTCTTTAACTATTGCTTATTGGAAGTTACTTGGCATATAATGTCTGTAGTTAAAATGGTAAGACAAGGGCTTTTCTTGCAGTTCTTAATAGATCTGAAATATTTTTTTATTAACACAAGGTTATATTACACCCATGGACTAAAATGTGGACTGCAGAAAGAATTTGATTACTGTGCTGGATTCTGCCTTAATGTATCCCAGTACAGGACAGTGGCCTTCATTTGTCTTTTTTTTTTTTTTTTTTTTTTTTTTTTTTTTTTTTTTTTTTTTTTTTTTTTTTTTTTTTTTTTTTTTTTTTTTCTGGTTTGAGGGGCTTTGTCAACTTGAAATGGAGAAGTAACCTAAACACTTTAAGGGGAGGTTGTATGTTGAAACCTAACCTTGTCCTAAACTTTTGTAAACTGGAAATCTTCAAAAATGTATTCTGTATTCCTGAATAAAATTGGTTTTAATACTGTTCACAAGTGAGCGTGTCCCCTCATGAAGCCTCCGTTGTTTTAGTTTTAGTTTTATAGCCTCCTATGTGAGCCTTCTTACAACTTCTTTTGCATTCCATTTTAAGTTTTGTTAAATCTTTGTGGGTTTAAAATCTATTTTTAAAACAAAGGTATATTGGAAACCCACATGTACCTGCGTGTATAAAAATATAGTATACAAATGAAAATCACTTAATTTCATAATTTCTCATTTTGCTGTTCTGTTTGTCCTGTCAAGGATAAGGCATCTGAACCAGTGGTGTTTTGTCCTCTGCTTTGTTGCGAAGCTCTAGAGGCTTCAGCAGAGATTGGTGCTCTCTGCTGTATGTGGATTTCCTAACAGAGCCAAGGGGCCTTCAGCGTTTCCTTCTCCCTGCCACTTTCCCACCTCTTACATTTCCAGGACAGCGTCTCTGTTTATCTCCAGGTCTGTGATCCAGGTCTGACCAAGTCCGACGTGTGAGCCAGATTCAAGTGGAGATGCTTTGTGGAGGCAGCATGTCTGGCTGCAGTGCCATGCCAGGACTCTCTCCCTGGCAGACGCTGGTGCAGGCACCACCACTATCATGGGAACTGTCCAGCCCCATGAAGTCCAGGCCCACTTGACATCTGGATCATAGCCACTCTTTTTATCAAAGTCACTCAAGGGACTATTGTTAACAAGTACCCCTTAAAGTTACTTCAGCAGACTAAGGAGAACAGATGCAAATGTTACATCTAAGTATTTGCACTTATATCAGAGATTGGGTTGACATATTTTACTTCCATGGCTCTTCTCCACTTGCTACCTTCACAAAGGCATGCCACTTTTACCTTTATCCTCGCTAACTAAATCACATACCCCCACTCAAATTCTCAGATGGTAATCTTTGTTTGATGCTGGCAAACTGCCCCAAAATAGTGGATCCAGAATTCACACCAGCAGCACAAGGAAGACGGAGCTGTTGAGGCTGCCACAACAGGCTCTTTGCAGGGGAGGGAATGCTGGAGTCTCAGAGCTGCCTCGTTCAGTCACATCCCAGCAAGAGCTATTCTTGAGAAATGTTGATTCAGAAGACAGCTGCTTATAGAAATAAATACCATACTCTCTAGCTAAGCTCCCTGATTAATCTTTTTTATTC